TACAATATTCTTTTTCATTTTCAGAAAGCTCCTTGTTTTTTTTGACCAATAAAAAAAAAGAATCTTTTATACTTTCTCTATCAGAATTAACATAGGCATTATTACGCATTTCATTATTAATTTTATATACAAAATCCTTTCTTTCTTGTGATAACAGTGATAATCGTTTAGCATATGACATTATATATAAAATATAGATATGATAATAATCATTATCTTCAAAATGTAAATTTGACTAAGATTTTTTTTTTTTTTGAGAATAAAGGCTGTCGTGTTATGGTTCCTTTCTAAATCTCGTAATTTTTGTGTAGATTTTTATATTTTGTGTAATGGTAATAATATTTATGTTTTCCTAACCAATGCACGGAAAATATTCTGTTGTAAATATAAAGGTAATCTGGTGCAGTTACGATAACGAATCACGAATACCTAAACATTTTGTTGCTCAAATCTAGGAAACTGAATTGTTGGGGAAGGATTAGATCAAAATCAAAGGGTAAAACTTTGTAATGAGTCTTTTTTTTTTCTTTGTTGCGCTGGCTTGAAAAAATATTTTTGTTTTCCAAAAATAATGTCGTGGTTATTTTTACATCGTCGTGTCATGCGAATTCCCATCGCTATCTATTTGCAACCGAAAAATTTACCTATTTTTGTTCAAAACGTCAGGTTGAGCGAGGCAGATGCTTGACTGAAAGGAAATTGTGTTTCGCTTTGGATGTTTTTTGTGTAGCGTCTACTGTTGTCTACCATTAGGTTTTCGCCTTGCTATGACGTTTCGGATCGTTCAAAATGGCCAGAAACTCATGGTCTTGCCTTGATGCCTTTATCTCAGATTGTCTATTGTATATCTTCAGTTCACGAGACCGGGATTCAAAACACTTTATTTTGTTGTTATTGTTATTATCGGTCAATTCAATTCAGTGGTTGATAAACAAACAATATGTACAGATTTTTTTTGATTTTGCCATTTGAGAGATATTTTAATTCCTTTTGGAGAAAACAAATAAAATCTATTGCAAAGGATTTTTTTTTAAATTAAGAAAAAAAAAGCTTGGTTGATTTTTTTTTAACAATCTTTGATTCATATGAGGGTTTTTCTTTGCAAAGAATCTTTTATTAAATTTATTAATTAGTGAACCATCTCCTTTTGTATATGTAATTTTTTTAAATAAAACAAACAAACAAATTTTTTACTCAACGCAACGAATAAAATAGAAATATTGATATAATAATATGACTGGTTAATGTTGATACTCCGAACGAATATATAGATATCTCGTATTTAAATGTAACATGTAAAGCCAAATAATACATAGAACGCCATTTCGGCACTAACGTGGCTCGACTCTCAAATTCGAATGCAACGTAAAAGGCAAAACCAATGCATCGTTTTTTGGGGGTTGTGGGTCTATGTATATGTTTTTGTTGTAATTTATTAGACTCCTCGATCAATGCTATGAAATAATTAATCTATTTTTATTAAAGGTTGCATCTTTATCATGAATATATGATAGGATTTGCATCCAGTGTTAAATTTGATGCTCAGAACGAATATATATATGTATTTGATTGAGCCGTGTGATTTTACAATACTATGACACCAGAATATCATCGCACTGCAATGTTAATCTGTATTTCATAAGACTTACTGTTATGTTTTCGTTTAAAAACTTGTGGAGAAACAGTTTTTTGTACAACATTTTTTTGATTGCCTTTAAATTTTTCTCGAACATGATTAATTGATAATAATAAGGATATAAATTGAAAAGCGAAAATTGCATTATTTAAAGAACGACTTCGTCACCACCAAACTCTAGCGATCGATTTATTGTGAATTCAACAATAAAAGGATAAAAATAGAAAACAAAATTAAAACTTACAAAAATATGCACCAAAATCTGTCTTAATATAGATCAACCTATTACTATGTTGCTTCAAATTCAGACACTAAATATAGCTCAAGCACATTATTAATATTATTGCGTATTATCATTACGCGTAGTTAACTTCAAAAGTAAAAAATTCGAAAAAACAAAACAATTTAACACAACTCATATGTATGTAAAGACAATTTTATTTTATGAAATGTAATAATAAAAGAATAGTTTTAATTTGTGAAAAAGAAGTGACATTTTTATTTTGAAAGAAAATATACGGTAGGTTATTAAAGTAAAATTTCTAATTCAAATTATAACATTTGTAAACTTCCCATGATAATTATTCTTCTTGCATCATTGCAATATACATACAATGATATAATAATTCTTTATTACCATTATTATTATTGCTGCTTGCATCAAGCATTTTTACTTACGTCAAGGACTTTTACTTTAAGTCAAGTCGCCAAAATGGCCCTGGTGAGAAACTACCTTTAGTCCATGCATCATTATTATAAACCAATTTTAAAATTCATTTTATTATTATAATGATAAAATTCGATTTACAATTACCTTAAAAGTAATCTCTACACATAAATAGCAATATTACAAAGTGCAGATTAAATGTTCGTTTTGGTAATAAAATCATATTACTATAAAAAACAAATTCAGTAATTATATAATTGCAGAATTGATTTCTGACATTTATTCAATATTCAATATAAATTTGTTTAATATAGCATTAATACTATAACAATTCAATATGCAATAAAAATTTAATTTCTTCTTCCTCCTCCTCCTCTTCTCCATCTTCCCAGTTCCCTTGACCTTCTCCCAAAGTGGCATCGATAATAGCAGTCATTGCTTAAGCTGCTTGATTCGCCCACTTCTATTTCCAGTTCGCATGCTACTCAATCAACATAATGAACCAATGAATTGATCATCTCATCTTCTAACGTCCGTCGTTTATTTAATTCTAAAATTCTATTTAAAAGAGTTAAATGAAAGAGTTCCCGACATAAGGGAACCATATAGATGATTGACCCCTCTAGAGCATATAAATAACGTTGTAATTTTCTTAACTTCATATTTTTTCTTGTTTTGTCGTTGTCTTTGATTTTTTGTCTTGTCTTTGTCATCTTGTATTTTTATATTAATAATATAACCTATATCTTTAACAATGAAATAATCTTGAAGTAATAAAGGATTAGTCTTCCTGTATTTTATATTCCTTTTTTTTTTAACGAGGTTTTGTTAACTAGAGAATGGCTCTACAGATCAGAGTGAAACCTAGAAAGAGAATTGTTTAGTGAAAGATAGTTTTGAAAGTAAAGCATAAATATATATTAGAGTAATTTTTTTTTGCTTCGTTTGTCCTCTAAATGTCAAATTTAATCATATCATGTGAAAAGTAACCTTCGTCATAGCAATTTGATCATTTATTATTATAATCCAAAGGCTCATTTATGTGATCTTTCATTGTTGCCGGATATAAAGGCTTGGTTTGTGGAGTTGAATAATTCAAATTACTGAAAGTTAGTAACTGGCTATTGTTGGAATTCTCCTCCAACCATTTTAGAGTGAAATGTTACATGTTTGACAAATATTACTATTATCTTGTTTAGTGAACTTCCAGAAAGAACATTTATTTCCATTATTAAAAGTAAAATGACAAGATGCCTTTAAAAAATAAACGTGAAGAGACTCATTTTTTTTATTACGATAATTTAAAACAATGCGCATCATAAATTAAAATGACTTTTGAATTGTTTGGCATCTGCTGATTCTAGAATCATTTAAAGTATCTATTAGAAACAATAAATCTTTTTTTATCTTTCAATTAATTATTTATTCTAACTTTTCAGGCTCATCATAGAAAATTTTTTGTTAAAAGCAGAATTAATATAATGCTTGTGATATGCATCAAAGCTTGGCATTATTAAAAATATCAGATGCGATTACACTTTGTTCAAATGCTCGGAAAGAAGTAACTTAAAAATTGTTGGTTAAAAACAAGTATTTTACCAATTTCAGAGGACACTATGCAGTAGATATGAATAGCAATGACCAACGAATTAGTGAACTTCAAAATTGATTGTTCAATTTAATACAATTGTTAATAGTCTGGAATCTGGAGGTACCGAATTACTGACGAAGAAATAATTAGTTGTGTAAGGCCAACAACACTTCAGACAGAACCAGAAGATGATAAAGATGATAGTGCTGTTCTACAAACAATTATTACAGTGGAAGTATTAAAATCTTTAGATACGGTGATTTCCTATATTAAAAATCCACATTAAAATCTTGTTTTTGAATTAAATCAATATCAAAAATCAAATACAGTATATAGGTAGACATGAGATTAATTCTAGAAAACGAGCCACATCAGAAAAATAAATATACTTTTTATTTTTAATAGAAAATACATACCGTACTAAAAAGTCAGTACAGCACGTACTTTTCTTCAGTATGGTGCTTACTTGCCTTCGGTACAGTACACTTTCTACATACCGATTTATTTTATTCGAATGATAAACATCAACCAATAAATTAATTGATTTTAAGATTGATGCAAATAATCCTTTAAATTAGTTCTATACAAACACAAACACAATTCTCTCTTTTGCTAATAATTCAACAAGTGATTTAATGACATTCGAGTTAAATAATGTTTAAAGTCATGGATACAAAATTTTTTACTTTAACCGGTATTTAACCAGTTTTTAGTCGGTTATGGGAATTGAAACTCAGGATTTCTACCAGTATTCAAAAAAATGATACATTGGTAGAGAAAACAAAATAATAAAACTGAAGAATATTTCAACAATTTTAGAAACATATTAAAATTAAAAATTCAAATGAATGGACAATGAGGGTCAGAAACTCATTGAAATTGAACGTAAAAAGTGGATAAGAAGCATACTTATTTTGATTATTATTATAGAGATAATGAAATAACAATCAAGGATTTTATAAACAAGGAATTGTCTTTGTTTTTCATTTCTAATACTATCCGTTCAATTCCCTCAGCTATAGATGGTTTGAAACCTATGCAATGTTTTAAAAAAGTTGGTCAAAGAGATCTGGATTATCAATCCATATGTGGACTAAATTAGTGACATGACCAAAGATAATTATACTGAAGGTTTCAAGAATAATTCTGTAAATGAAAGTGTTTGTTTCGAAGTGTTAACAGATGAAGAAGGTTGAAAAAATTGGACCAGAGAAAACATTTCATTTAAACAACTGTCAACATCAAACATGATAATTCTGGTCAAATATGAACACCAGAGGATATATTTAGTGAGTTTTTAATGAAAGATTAAATCTTATGTAAGTTATTGACATACTTATTTATATGTATATATGTTGTTTAAATTTCAAATAATATTTTAGTTTATCGATTTATTCTAATATATATATTTATAATTATAGTTGCATTTGAATATAGTGTATTTATTTGTTCACAAGATCTCATCACATTAGAAAATGCATGGGATGAATACATTGATTGACAAAGAAAATAGAATAATACGATAATCTTTTATAAAAACCCCAGTTGATGATAACAGAAAGTTCAAGTATAAACAAACCAAAGTTGATATTTTGACTAACAATAACAAATTGAATATTATGGATGCTGGTAATATGACCAAACCGATAAAGGAAACTCAATATTAATCAAGAAACGAGAATTCATAGACAATGATAAAGCCACATCCAGCAAAAGAAGATCAAAAGATGTATAAATATAAATTCAGAAAATATTTAATTTTATTAATATTATTTATTATATTTATTTATTTATGATTATTATTTGCATTTTAATAGTGTAGTATTGCTAATATTAATATGGAATTGTGCTTGTTTGTCACCAAAATATTTACGAGGGATTTTGATTTGGAGCAAGTGCTATAACTGTAAATTGCAAATTTCCAACTTCTCGTTCCATAAATTCTTTTTTAATCACTTTGGTAGCATCCTATTAATTCATTTAATTTATAAGAGGATTATTTATTTATTATATAGTGAATATTTATGCCTTCTCAAATTTTCAATTAATCAACAAATATATTTATATTTACAAACCTGTAATAAATCAGTAGATGGTCCATGACTGATGGGAAATGGTTTTCTTCCATCCAACTCATAAAGTGTTCCATTTTTTTCAATAAAACACGTAAAATGTAAATTTACATCCTCATGCTCACCTGGCACCTAGCATAATGAATTACAAAAAATTTATTCAAAAAATTAAATGAGAAAATTTTTTTTATGATTTTTTTTTTGAGAATTACTTACTCGAGTCTGACCAGATAATGCTTGACTTTGATGAATTTTTGCTAATTCTTCATTTTCTTCTAAAACTTTAGCTCGCTCATCTGGTGTTAAATCTTTACTTTTATCTAATAATCGTTTAAGTGGTCCATCACCTTTTCAATTATATAATATAGGTTATTATTTTTATTGCATTTTTTTGTTAATCACCAGGAAAAATTTTATTTTCACATTCTCCAATATTACATACCAATTTCAATTGTGTCAGTGTTAGAGGCTAATGAATGTAATAAGCCAATCGTGCCACATGCATTTGATATTGTTTGTTTGAAAAAAACTAAATCTGGTGATGATGATATCACTGATGTTGATGAAGTAGACGATAAAGTTTTCTCAATAAATTCTTTATTATATTTTTCATGATTTTCTGTTATAGGAAATAATAATAAAACTGCTTTCACTGGTTGTGGTATCATTGCAAGAAGTTCCAAATCAAGTCCTATTAATAAATGAATAATTAATTATTAGTTGTAATAAGGGTAGAATAGAATAGAATGAATAGAGTAGAGTGGATAGAGTAAAGTGGATAGAGTAGAATGGATAGAGTAGAGTGGATAGAGTAGAGTGGATAGGATAGAATGAATAGAATGAATGAATGAGTTTTTTACCCCAAACATCAGTATAAGCCCATGAATTAGAAGCTCCCAACTTATGAATATACTATAAACCAAATAATTTTAAATTATTTTAATTATATAAATCAAATCTACATTATATTTTTTTTTAATTATAGTAAAATTTCTACCTCATTCATAACCTAATAATCATAAGAATTGAAATATAACATTAAATTCAATGAATTCGAATTCCTTCTAATTAAATTGATAATTAGAGAAAAAGAAAACTTACATCAGGATTGGATTCTAATGGAAGCCATAAGTTTTTCTTGGCTGTTTGTTGTTGTTTAACGTCTGTCATGTTTGAATTCCCAACTGTTACTAACGTTATTGTTGTTATTATTTATATCAAAAATTTTGGACAATCATAATCAGTCAGGTATACGTTATCTACGTTACACGTATGGCGATTACAATCATAGATGGTTACATTTTTTGAAAGTATATATTAATATTAATATTAAGTAAATGCGTATGCTCATGACATCATGTTTATACCTTTTAGGTTACGTTACAAATGACTAGCTCTGAATTTTATATAGATCGCGCCTGGGTTCTTTGTTTTTGCAATGAGCTTGTTACTATGTCCAGTTTCTAGCAATGATCATTCGACGATACAAAGTTATTTATTTAACGAAAAAAATTTTTTTTTTGAAAGTTTGCAGTGTCATTTGTTATTTCTACGACCTACGTTTTCACAATATTCAATTTCTGCTAGTACTATATAGTCCCAAAATTTTTTCTTCGGTAAAAGTTCTTTATAGAGAAACTCTGATTACCTTATAAAAAAAACATGCATGAAGTGAATGACAAAGCAATGTAATCGTGATGATAATTAATCTCATTTTTTTGATTGTTTTGGCTTTTATTAAAAATTGTGAGAAGAAAGAGAGAGCAAATGTAATAATCATTTCAGTCAAACCTCGTTTCAAGAACATGTATATAAGAAAATTGCGTCTAAAATCCGTTATACCAAAATTGCTAATCGCGTTTCAACTTTCAACGAATTTTATATGTAAAGCAAAAATTCGTTGTAACGCGAATTTAATTATAATTCGTTGAAACAAGTATAAAATCATTGATTGTTCCTTTTTTTTCATTGGTGTTTTAAAAAGACTTGGTTAGCATTCCTTGACAACAGTCAAGTTTTTAGATCTTTTTTGTTTGAATGATCCATCTAACTGCAAATATATATATAATCAATCTTTCATTGTTCATAAAGAAAATAATTCAAAAAATTTTTTTTTGATGTGCTTAAAAAATTCTTTTTTTTTTTCACAAAAATATTAAATCCTTCAGTTGTATTTATCAAGAATGCAATTGGAGAGAAGGTATATACAGTATGTCAATGAATGAATTAGATGAAGCTGAGGCCAACCAACATGGAAATTCTGCGTTTAATAAATCTCTCATCAAAAGGCAGAGGTAGAGATAAAAGGAAAGCAAGTTAAATTATTATTATTTGATTTAGAAACTATATTATCATTATTAAATGAAAAAAAACTATTTTGTCATTTATTTCATTTTAGATATAATTCCGTTCAAGATGCCTTCAATAATAGTAATATTAATAGATCAAATATACGTAATTTCTGTTAATTTGATATGTTTTTTTATGATCTTAATACAGAAAATTGTGAATTTCTGTATTACGTGCAGTATACCAACAACAACAACAACAACAATAATAATATAGGAACAAATTTATTAATAAAATCCGTTATGCCATTGTAACAAGAAATCCGCTGTGGCGAGGTCCGTTGTGGTGATGTTTGACTGTAAATCCTATGTAGGAAAAAACTTCCTAATGTTGGAGAGAATTTCAAAAGAGAAAACTGACTTTAACACAGCTTGCTTGGCAAAATGATAATATTACATGACCCAAATAAATCAAGAAAATTAAATTGTGGTCCAACTTGGATCCCAATTGTTGCATTTTATACATGACAATATCAATGGCGCATTTTGGCATTTAATATTAATAATTAATATTAGTCAATCATTCTATTTATTATATTCTATTGGACAAAATCATGTAAAAAGTCATGTATAAATACACTTAAAAATTTTTTAATAATATACATTTGATAATAATAATAAAAACTGTATTAATTAATAAAGTTGGTTGATTCATAACCCTTTCTGATGATTAATGGTTTGGCCAACCTTTAACTATTAGTTAGGAACCCTTTTTAATTTTACTATATTGCTTGTAATGATGCCTCAAGTAGTATATTTCTATTTTTGATTTTTTTTGAGCATATGAAGCTGGAAAGAAAACTGATACACTTGGCCAGAACTCACCTGCAATAATAGTACACGTGCAGCTGGAAAGAAAACCTTCCACTTGACCAGAACTAGGGCTTCTATTTGAATAAAACAAATGATTCAAAATAAAAACGAATGATTCAAAATAAAACAAATGATTCAAAATAAAAACAAATGATTCAAAATAAAACGAATGATTCAAAATAAAACGAATGATTCGAATAAAATAAAAACGAATAATTCAAAATAAAAAAGAATAAAAAAGAATAATTCAAAATAAAAAAGAATAATTCAAAATAAAAGAGTTGTATATTATGAATGATTTGAATAGGAATTTGCATTACAAATTTACGAATAGAAACTCTAGCAGAAATGAAGGTGAACTTTGAATTTTATTTACTGTGAGATATGCACTTGATCATTACTAATTATTTTATTGACATAATGAAAAAATTGAAGATATTCAGAAAATAGATTTTTTCCATGATGATAAATTTCAATTACAAAAAGTCTAGGAGAAATACAACTTGAGAAAAACAATGATGCTTCAATAAGTGATTCAGAAAATAATGGTAAAAAATTATTTAATAAAAAATGAAAATTAGATTCTTATAAATTAATCTAAATGATTTTTTTTTAAACATAGTTATTGATTCTGATATTGAAAGCAAGTTCTAGAAAAGAAAGGATTGGTTGATGTGAGTCACATTAATGTCAACATACCAATACCAAAAGAAAAAGATCAATGGTGTTATATGTGTTGAGTTATTATCGTGAACCCATGGGAAGGTATTGCTGATGAAGGTGAGCAGAACATTGTCTTTTTACTGATTCTGGACAGAGACCATATTTTTTACTAGTTTTTTTATATCATTTATATCCACAAAGTGTTTCAGAGGCTAATTTCACACCAGTTCAACATAATTAAGTTTTATACCATAGTATACTAATTTTTTTCTAGGTCACATAGAAAATGTGGTGTGAAATATGTTCCAGGCCGCACCAAAGAAACAAAAATTTGTCATAGTATTTATAAAAGCATAATGGACACTCATTTTGTGCAACAGTCATTTGTATAATAGGCAGGCGGTTACACAGAGCCCGTTGCTTCTGAAACTTCACCAGAATATATCTAAGTCCAGATCATCAGCAAGATCAAAATTATCTCACACTTTTATAATCAAACTTTTGCAAGAACTTTCACCATAACATATGTTATGTTGATCATTTTTTTTGTGGTCTGCAACAGTGTCCACTATGCTATTTATAAACAAGGTATAGAGATCAAAGTAGTTTTCATCATTTAAGCAGAGCAAGAAGGAAGCAGAATGAAGTGGAGCTTAATGAAAACAAAGGTACAGAGAGCAAAGTAGAAAATAAAAGAAGTATACAAGGTAGATAGACATATCAAGAAAACAAAATTCAGTACACAAATAGGTAGAGAGCAAAGTGAAAACAATCTGCATAGCAAAGTGGAGCAGTTGATACCAAAACAATAAAACTAATAAATTAATAATTTTCAAATTAAACATTTCTGCAATCCATATAAAACAAAACAAAAATGTTCAAATATATTACTCAAATTTTTAGCTATATTGGCAATGCACCAAATTCCCTCAATGATAGTAGGGACCCGTTCAAAGCTGGTGATCTAGTAGAGGTCAGAGAAGAAATTGAGTATGTAAAGATGAAACACCAGAGTTTGTATTACTATGAAGATCCAGTAAAAATTGCAAACATAATGTTAGTAAACAAAACATGGTATAAAGAGGGAAGATGTCAATTATGTAAATATAGGGATGAAATAATGGAATGGTTAAGATTAAAAAGGATCAATAAATTGGATAGATTTATAGGATATCTAAATCTTGATAGGTTAGATGATATTCACTATCCCAGGGTCCTTCCATAACTTGTTCTGGCATATTGTGGTAGTGCAAGTAGATGTGCAATGGATGATTGCTTGGCATGGTGTTGCCATTTCATGCAAGTGAGCCCATTTGTCTTTGGCCATCACCAAGTGTAGAAGATCTGAGAAAGGCCTTTACACACTTATTTCTTTTTAAAAAGGGGAACAAATTCAAAGGCAAGGTTGTGGTTTTTGACAGATGTTTCTCACAATTACATTTTTGGTGACCAGTATCTGGTTCTAATTTTGAAAATTTCTTCTTTTCTCAAGCATCAACATCAGGAAACTTTTCCCACCGTAATACAGTCAGGAATTTTGCTAAATCAGGATGTGTAACAAACAATGTTCTAGAAAATTTTTCCCCAATAAAATTTCATAAAAAAGCCATTTTTCTTTATTGATCTTGTGACTTTTTTTTTTTAAGGAACCTAAAAAAAAACCGAAGAATTATATAGAAACGCATATATTAAACCATAATCAGTCAATAATCAGTTCAGAGTGTTGAGGGATCTCGGTGATCTGAGTACTGAAAAAGTTGGACAACAGAAGGAATAGTTTGAATTTATAAATTTTTATATTATTCATTTATTT